GTTTTTACTTACAAGGTCAATGTGACCTTGACCTTTGAAACCTTGACCCAAAACTCAATAGGGGTCATCTGCTGGTCACGTCCAATCATCATACAAAGTTTGAAGTTCCTAGGCCTAAGCGTTTTTAGTTAATTGATCAGAAACCGTTTTTACTTACAAGGTCAATGTGACCTTGACCTTTGACCCCTTGACCCCAAAATCAATAGGTCATCTGCTGGTCATGACCAATCACCATACCAAGTTTGAAGTTCCTAGGCCTAAGGGTTCTTTAGTTTTGATCGGAAACCGTTTTTACCAACAAGGTCAATGTGACCTTGACCTTTAACCCCTTAACCCCAAAATCAATAGGGGTCATCTGCTGGTCATGACCAATCACCATACCAAGTTTGAAGTTCCTAGGCCTAAGGGTTCTTTAGTTATTGATCAGAAACCGTTTTTACCTAAGAGGTCAATGTGACCTTGACCTTTGACCCCTTGACCCCAAAATCAATAGGGGTCATCTACTGATCATGATCAATCACCATATCAAGTTTGAAGTCCCTAGGCCTAAGCGTTCTTTAGTTATTGATCGGAAACCGCTTTTACCTACAAGGTCAATGTGACCTTGACCTTTGACCCCTTGACCCCAAAATCAATAGGGGTCATCTGCTGGTCATAACCAATCACCATACCAAGTTTGAAGTTCCTAGGCCTAAGGGTTCTTTAGTAATTGATCGGAAACCGTTTTTGCTTACAAGGTCAATATGACCTTGACCTTTGACCCCTTGAACCCAAAATCAATAGGGGTCATGTACTGGTCATGACCAATCACCATACCAAGTTTGAAGTTCCTAGGCCTAAGGGTTCTTTAGTTATCACTCTGAAACCATTTGGTCTACGGACCGACAGACCAACGGACCGACGGACCGACAAGTGCAAAGCAATATACCCCCTCTTCTTCGAAGTGGGGGCACAATAATGTGATGCAAAATAATCTTAAAGCAAATGAAACAAAATTTCGCGGGATCTTAAATTTGTTGATTGCTATCCAAGACAAGACATTTCCATGGGTAAAATGTCAAGCCCTGTCTTCTTAATTCAAACCTGAACCTATAAGCTTCTGATCAAGATGAAAGAGGTATAATATAGGTGAAATGTTTGCAACACATCCTCTTTATACCCAAGGCAAAATCTTAACATTGCATCATCTTAGGTGACCTTGACCTCTGACCTGGTTCATGACAGGAAGTCTCATGATGACATTTGAGCCTAAAAAAACTCAATTCATGTTATTTGAAAATTCCTCCATGCACAAAGACGTTATGGCATGTACAAGTTTGGATGCACACAGGCACACACAAACACAAAACTGCCATTTCAACAACTATGTCAAGCTCAACCAAAGTGGGTTTGACAAAAATTCTCTGACGACTTAGCATAATATTTTAAAGCATAAGCAAGTGACAGTGCAGACAACCAAATTTTGATATTATTATTTGACCTTTTGTGACATTGACCTTCATTTTGTCCAAGACAACTCAACTCACCATGGAGAACATTTGCTCTAAGTTATATTAAAATCCATCAATGTATATAGTAGATTATATATACATGTACTCACAAATGAATGTTTTGATTAATTTCGTTTTCGCTCAAAATTCAGCCTTACAATGGAAAACATTTGTCTTGAGTTATATTAAAAATCACCCCATCATAGTGAACAATTGTATCAAACTATTTTGTAATCCTTTAAAGAATGAGCAAGATATATAATTATAGGACAAAGATGGATGCATTGACTAAGGGACACACATACACCAAACTGCCAGAAGTAAAAAGTTGCCCAAATTACTTTGTTTTTTGACCTTTGACCCCTAAGTGTGACCTTGACCTTTGCCACAGCCACCTAAATTTTTCATTCCACATTCTACCTCACTATGAAGAACATCTGTCCAAAGTAATATAAAAATCTCTCCAAGCATGTGTAAGTTAATTTTGCGCTGACCACCAAGTGTGCCTTTGACATTTGAGCGGCGGACCTGGGTTTTATGTGCGACACACCATCCCATCATGGTGAACATTTTTACCAAATTATTTTGTAATCCTTCAAGGAATGAGCAAGATATACATGTTGACCCAAAAAAAAATACATGGACGGATGCACATACACCAAACTACATGCCAAAAATGGCAACTAAGTTGAGGTCACCGCAAGCAGGCTCGACAAAAACCATGAAAGTTAGTTCCCCACAAACAATAATGATTTTACAGTAATAAAATGAGGGTTAAGGTCATATAGTATATAGTATTCCAGCTTTCAATACAATATCTCAAATAAGTATAAAGAATTGTTAATATAAAACCTTCTGAGGAAACTGAAATGAAACCATGAACTTCAATTCTAAGCTAGAAAAGATGACAAAGATAAACCTTTTATCCTTTTTGAAAAGTAGTAAATAATGATACACCTTTTATACTTACAATAGGCTGTCTAGCTTTTTCTTCCAACTCAAGTACCTTTAAACAACAATATCAAATGATTATTTAATCAAAAACATGTCAGAAAGTATACCCACCAATAACTGGGATAACAAGACATGTATACATATACATACATTGTATATAGATGTTACATAAACTGATATGCTTGCTCCATATCAATGATTCATAAACGGTATGCAAATGGTCTTCAGAAAAGAATCAATGATAAAAATAAACTTGTCTTGTTAAATACTCCCTAAGTAACTGGCAGATTTATACAGTCACAATTTGAAGTTTATCACTGATAAGATCAACTGTGGTTTCTGATACTTACCAGTAACCATAGTTACAACATAACTCAGATCTAACTCTAGGATTTCATGGACATTCTGGTGAAGGCAATGCACCTTTATAATAATAACCACTTAAGATATTTAGATTAAATACAGTGTATAACAATGAAGTCAAGTTCAACAGACAAATATCTTCTCCTGATAAATGCATGCAATTGTACATGTTTCTATGGCAACTTACGTAATTTTCTCCGAAATGTCTCTGGCCATGTTTATATGCAGTTATGATGTCAGAGACTGGCTTAGTCTTGGTCACTGCTACAAGTCTAACAGGAATATCTGGCAGGTTCTGAAAAAATGAAATATTTAAAGTAGGGACATTTGGTTATACAAAGTATAATACAGTAGAACTCTAATAATGGTATCACTTCGTGCCTCTAATTACATGAACATTTTGAAAACCTGGCTAAGCCTCTGAAGGGAATTTTCACCCAAAATAAACATTAAGATTATCACCGTTTTAGTCCATTGACAAAATCAAACTGGCTTCCCAGCTTTGCTGTATGCAAATGCGCTGCGCTTTGAACTTGTCGAAAGATTTCGTAAATGGAGTAAAACAGCAATAATCTTGATGTTTAATTCGCCTGTTGCATTGATTATATTGATGTTGAAGTTTAAAATTGACCATCATCATCGAGAATATTGTCTTCTGTGTCAATGGACAAAAGGATTATGTAAAATATTGGAAATGGAATAAAATGCAAGGTGATTTTGACAGTAGGTGTGCAGATTATTTTTTAGCAAACATTTTTATCTTGTGTATTATTATAGACATTGAAATAAGTTTTTTTTATACATATATGATCAGTAAATGTGCTGAGATTGACAAATATACATCTTATTTTGATTTTAAAGGCGTTTTGAGCTCAACACCCCAAGTGTCTGTGTGAAAAAATAGATGCAATTTTTTAAGAAAAGCATACAGTAAAGATAAGAAAAATGTAAATTATTATCAGTAATAAACATTGTAAAAAATTTCAATCCTGCAAGTCGGGTATTATGTGCCCGAAGTTAAAATCACCTTGGTAACGACAAATTAAATTTTTGCAATTTTAGGGTCGAAACACCTTGCAAATAATTTTTGACAGTCGAGTTGATTTTTGAGGTCGAATCATTACAGAACAAATTTAAATGCAACAGGCAATGTCATGTGCAAACAATTATTCAGAAGCATTTGTAAAAGTAAAATGTTCTTCAACATACCTTTGGTCTTCCATCTGATGCTTTTTGGATTTTTTCCAAAACATTTTTTAAAGCCCTTCCGATTTCTTCGCTGTTAGACGCCATTTTCCTAAACATGGTTTGCTCGATTAAGATATTTGACCTTTTTGAAGAACATGTTCTGGGCTAGACTAACATTTCAGTTTTACTCCCAAAGTGGGACTGAACTGTCCTAAATTTAATGCCAAATAATTTTGATATTATTAATGAAATAAAATTTCTTAACGTAAAGTGTAATGGTATTATCAAATTTATTTAAAAGCGCAATTCATTGACTTTAAAAGTGTGCACTACTTTGAGTTTGTATATCATGATTTTTTTTAAAGTTCATTTCGTACTTAATAAGACATAATACGTTTGAATACCTCTCCTTTCAGTAATTTATCTATTATATTGTTTCTATTGTTGTATTTACAGTGGTACTGTGAGGCATTTTGCTTCAAATCGTAGGTTTTAGATCATAAAAAATCAGATTCTAATTTGCCAGTACAGTAAATTTATACATATGCACGTGTATAAAGGGGGCTAGGGGCCATATAGAACAACCCAAAGAGGTACTCGATCGACCGCTTTGTGCAGTGTTTATGCAGTAGATCGTCAATGTACATTTTTGTATATATTTTTATCAAAGTGCAAAATAAATTTCTTAGGAGGACACACCAAGAACAAACCTTATGTATTAAACTCTAAACACAAGTTGTAAACACAGTACTGTATGGATACATAGTGTCATTAAAAAGGGCGTTTTTAAACAAAGGACCAAATTAAATTGACCACTCAATAAAAGAGATTGCAGATTCTAAAACATAATACAAAGCATAAACTGTTCTGAAAATTAAAAAGAAATATTAATCCATGTGTCCTGAGTGTGTGAACAAGAATTTCGGTTGTGTGCCAAATTTGCCGAAATGACACAGAATCTAAAAGAATACAGAACGTTATAAATATCATCGAAAATAAGAAATGAATATTTGTTATGAATCACCATTCAAAAAATAATTCCTCTTCCGTTTGGGTTTCTTTATAAGACAGCCCTGAACTGAAATAACACCCCTGTTACAGAGATCATAGATCTTTATTTCAGTGGTGCTTTCTGAGTATTCCCAGTATTACTAATTGGTAAAATTAACTGAGTATCGTTGCTATCACTGGTTAATAATTTAATCTGAACAGATTTTATTATACTTTGTGTCATTGACAATGTAATAAACACTGGTACCAAATTAAGGTGTATCAAAGATAACCTGACTACTCTTGGTAATACCTGGAACATACGATACGTTATAATACATCCCAGGTAATACATGTAGTTCTTACTTTGGTCTTCATTTATTAAAAGTTGTATTGTTCTTTGAAAAAAATATTCTTAAATGAATTTGTTTATTTACAAATCTGCACTTTTTTACATTTAGGAAGTTTGCAATATTATTTCAGCCTAATATCATTTGGGTCTTTCAAACGCCTTGAAAGGCCCTGATCTCATTATTTACTCTGAACCAGGTACGTATATTAATATACGTACCTGCTCTGAACAGATTATATCGTACCATTCATGTCATTGGCACTATTATAAACACAGGAACTAAAGGTTTAACAATTAATTTAACAATTTTTTTTGCATGTAATGTCATTTTATTATTATAAAATATCGTATCAAGAAAAGTTAATAAAAAATAATCAATTTATAACATATAAGTCATATCCGGTATTCAAAGTAATATCCGCGGATATGAGTCATTTCCAATATGGCACCATTGATCGTAAATTTGGTCTCTGTAGGGCATTGTATACGCACCGGTCTCAAATATCGTCAGTAAGACCGGTGTACACAATGCCCTATATGTATGTAGTTTGGTCCGTTTTTTTGAAATTTGTATTGTTATTTATAAATTGTAGCCAAAAATAAAATTGATTATTTACAAATCTGCACTATTTTAACTTTCAGTGAAGGTGCAATATTATTTTAAATTAAGTTTTATCAGAGACTTCTGTAACATATAGGGTTTTATACAACAATGAAAATTAGATCAGGATTGCCATTTTGGTGATATCAAAAGTAAGTCTTGTCGATGCCACAAAAGCACTTGTCCTTTTGCAAATTCATTGATAAACCAACGGCATTTTTTTCATAGACATATTGAGCAACGATATGCCAATATTTAGTATAATACAGTGGTGTACAACCTGGAAGGAAGAATCAGAATGTGTGTATGTATGAAATCAAGAGTAGCTGTGCTTTTTCGAAAACGAGATAAAAGCTAAAATGCATTTTAATTGCTAAATGATCGGGAAAAATAATTTAGTAAGGTATAGTTATCAGGCTTTATATAAAAGATTATTTTGAGGACAATTTTGTTCAGAATATTTAACATTATTTTTATCTACAGTTCATATGTCATTAGATTTCGCGACTAGGTTTTCAGGTCAGACACTCACATTGATATTTCCATAGACTTACATTATAAGAAATGGTCCCTTATCCTACCTTAAAATTCAGTTTTCATGCTAAAGAGGTATTTTTTCTAGCAGAATGAAATGCCTGACACATAAAAATGTTCCTGTTTTATAGGGGTAGCCAACCAAATTTTTTGCAAAATGACTTCAAAGAGGATTACCCCCCATTTCATTGAAATTTTCTGCTGATCACAGGACTGAAATACACTTTTTATAAATGCAAATATCCAAGTCAAAATTATCACAGAGACTCATGAAATATTTCATTTTCTTTAGAAAACATTGTAGTGTTACTTTTTAAATTAGTTTTTATACTTAAAAATACCCCACTTTCATCCAATCGCCTCATGTATAAACTGAATCATACGGTTTTCCCTGCACTTTTTTCAGCCAATCGCTGGCGGTGTTACAATGCGATACCCTGACCTTCAGGGGCAGGGGAAACGCTAGTCCAATAGATTAGACGTTACAGGCTTGTTATAGTTTTATGTTGGTCAAGCCTGACGTCTAATAGTTATTGCTCATAAACGCTTAGCATTTTTAAAAATTAAAAAAATGTCTGTTGACTTGCCTTTCAAGCTTTATTCAAAAGCTTATCTTCTGTTCTTTCAATTGCATGGTCTATCATCAACAAAAACTTTCAAACAATGTACTTATCAATTAAAAATAAAATATAAATATCAGTCTATTTCGCTTATCGGCCATACTGGTTAAGTAAAGCGTTTTACAGATTGATTCCAAATTTTTGAACGGAAAAATATATTCGAACACACTGACGGTGCATGGGCAATTATTTAGTTGAAAAAATATTCCGTTAGAAACTTCTGGACTCATTTAAACGCTTGCATTTGAATTAGCCAATCAGATTTCGCGCACTGTATGGCGGCCATTTGTATATCGGTTGTACAAAGAATTTAATTAAATGAGAGGATTTAATCATGACTTTTCGGTTGTGACAGTTCAATTATTTTGTTTTAAGGTATTTATTTTTTAGTTTTGTTCATTAATAGGTCAAAATTAATGTAAATACACGCTGTTTTAATCGTTTAAATTCATAAGATCTAAATCGATGTCTAATGTCAATTTTTTTGCTACACGATTTTGCAAAGATCTGTTGAGACCTAACGTAACATGGAAAATGAAAAATGTAAAATATCAGATTAATGAATGATAAATATGAAATAGGTTACGTATAGGTCTCAGGGCTCATCCGGAAGGGCGATTCAGGCGAAAACTTCGCCGTGTATATTTCCATTTCGCTCTCACAATTGATCAAAGAGAAGTCAACATCGCCGATAAAATCTTAATTCCCAAAGAGTAATTACTTGGCGATGTAAAGAGCAGAGATTGTATACGCCCATATGACGACTGCTAATTATCATTATCCAATCAGAGCGTCGCTTTATACTACCCTTCTACCTGTATGCAAAGCGATAGACCGCCTACTCTAAACAGTAAAGAATGAGAGCATCGGCCCGAAACGGGTATAATTGTGTGACAGTTTTGGGAGTTTAATACGGGATTTGGCGATAATTATAGATTGTTTTTTCCCGATCATCTAAACACGTGCAAATCTTCCCTAATTGAAATACACGCGGTGTTTAACCCGACTGGCCGAGTAAAGGCGATCTCACGGCTAGTCAATTAAAAATAATCAATTTCATTAATGATCAGCGACCGGATTAAAAACTTAATCATAGTTTTGAATGATTTCAGTCCGGTAACATAAATTAAAAAATTGTTATGTCGCTCACGTCATGGCTACAGGGCGAAATGCCCAAACCTAGAAGTAAAAGAAAGTTACTGATTCTGACGCAAAAATTCTACGCAAAAATTTAAGAAAGCCAATTCGCAAAAATCTTACGATTGGTATGCTGCAGACAGTGAAAGTGTTTGGCATTGTTATCTTTGCAGAAATGCCAAATTTGACACAGCTTACGCACGTGGGCACGACATTCCGGAAAAACTACGAATCATGATATCATGTGTACATGTATATAACAACAAAATTTGTCAGGAAAGAAGTGTTCTTATTGTTTCAATATATATATTTGTTTTAATGTCATAAATATGACGCTCAGATTAAGATTTATCAATATTGTAAATTTCAAAAAGCATTATTTATAAAGATATTACGAGTTTGACATTTCATGAAAATAAAGGGAGGTAATTAGAAATTTATTTTCTATAATTTCTCAGTCAAATTTTTCAATAAGAAATGAATGTATATAATTTTAGTGATCAAATATAATGTGCACAAATGTTTGCAGTACATATTTTACATATTCTTCGATGTTTGAAAATTGTTTTATAAGCATAACTATATGCACATAAATATTACATTACAACATGCAAGATCATATAAAAATTTTCTGTAATCAGAACAGAATAGGCAGATTTTGTTTGAAACTTTATCTTCTATTAAAAGTGAGAAAGTAAAAATATGAAATTAATTTATTCATCAAATTTTCTTACACATTATTATCAATAAATCTACATGAAAATATATAAACAAATATGTAGAGAAAGCTTATAAATAGCTGATAAATAGTTTGTGTTTATATTATAGTTAAGGATGTATAGCCATGCATGTTAATGCATACACATTGGGCTGTTTCCCTTCTCCCTATTTTTCGCAAGGAAGTCACTTCTCCCTAAAATTTCCACCCAGGATGAGCCCTGGGTC